AAGCAGCTTCAGGCTCCTTCGTTTACGATGAGGGTGATAGAAGCGACATGAGAGACTGTTTTGGAGGAAATTGGATTTGGGGAAGAACTACCGACCAAAAACTAGGGATTGTTTTTTTTTTTTGAGATATAGCAGCAGTGCAGCACGAAGGACTGAACTTTGACAGAGAGGGTGGAAGGCATAAGGCATATAGACAAAATGGTGTCGTTTGATAATATAAGGAAGGAAAGAACCATTTTTTTTTAAATAACCATTTCTTTCTCCATATACAAAACACTGCCGTTTGGACTAGTCTTCCGCGACGATAGCTTCGTCACCAATCCATATGCTGTTATGGCGTCAAGTCAAATCGTCGCAAATGTCAACACATTTATTGCGACGCAACGTTTCGTCGCAATAGCATTTTTACGATATTGCGACGACTCTTTATGTCGCAATTCCTGCTATGTAATCGTCGCAAAATCCAACCCCTTATCCGCGCCCAAAATAACACCTATTAGCGACGAATATATTTTTTCGTCGCCGAAATTTCGGTTTTAGCGACGCTAGTTATTCTTCGTCGCAAAAAGGTCGCCTTTAGCGACGAACTACCGTTTGTCGCAAATTGTTTCGTCGCTAAATGTCCAGTTTGTTGTAGTGTAAGGACTTAACATCCCTCTCTGATTCAAATCCCGTAAATGTACATTTTTAGCCCCTTCTCGTTCAGATTTCTGGCTCCGCCACTAAGTCAATAGTTATTGATCATAATGGTATTACAGTTTTATCAACTCAGTGGGTGTAAAGTTTCAATCTCGTCGACCCCCATATTAGTGACAGGCGATCAAGCTAGGCGCAAGTTGTAAGGCATCCTTGCAATCCTAAATGTCAATTATTCACAACTATTCATCTTTGTAACTTAATTGACAACGCAAGGGGCGTGGTTCACCAGATACAATGTGCGTCATCATAACCCAATAAGAATTCACGAGGTTGAGTATTCTATTTCTCGTATTTATTATTCATTTGAGTCATGATCTTATGGGTCCAATGTTTGGGACTCAAGGCAACCATCCATCCCCAAAGAGAGGGCAAACCTCTATGTTAGCTTATGCATGCTACAACTATAGCCTACTGCTACAACACTACACCATCTATGGCGCCATGGGAGGGAAGATGATGGACTGGTTTGACCCACTTGGGACCTTTTGACTACAGAGTCGATCATTTCCTTGGAAAAAAAAAAGGATCAAAAGTTGGGATCCCAGCCTTGTCCCCAAGAAAGAAGAAGAAAACTATAATAAAGAAAGACCAAAAGTGAATCGAGCTAAGCGCGATGGGATGGGAGAAGGGATGAGAACCGTTGGATCAGTTTATGGGCTGGGACCAGGAGTCGGGAATCGGGAAGCCCACATGTTGGGTAGAAGCTCATCACTGCCCCGACAGCCAGAAGCTGACATGTCGGTGGTGGTTTTCCGGTTCCGGAACTGGAGAAGAGACTAGTGTGAGAGAGAGAAGAGAGGAAGAAGACAAAAGGAGTGATGAAGAAGTACTTCGAGGTCCTTCAACTTTTGACTCTTGACAATTGGTTCGATCTTTGGCTTTCATGAATTGGGTTGATTGGTTCTAAGGATAGAAATTTCGATATGATTCGTGCGACGATAAGATGTGTTTGAGCTTGTTTTGGGTAGGTAGTATTTGCTTGGCGAGTAGGATGAGGTTTGGAAATGAGTTTTGATTTTGTGTCGGTCGGTTTCACCCCAGTCCATTTTAATATGATTTATTTTCGTTGTTGTACGTTATACTTTTTTCTTAAACTCTTCTATGAAATAATGTAACTACGACATAGCGCTGGTCTTTAAAAGACACGACATTGGTTTGTTGGAAACATACCAATCCTTCTTAAGACACATACTTGAGGCTCTTCCCAAAATTCCGAGTTCTCCAGAGATCACCGACTAGCTAGTTATCGTCATGGTATCATAAATTTCGACCACGTTTTTGAATGATGACAACCCCAAATACCAAATGTTGGTTTAGGCACGTGCATGATATGATGTGTTTGTGCAACCTTGTAGCTATAGCGGCATGTACAATAACGACGAAAGGTACGTACCTCTTTTAGCAACCAACGACGGATCTAGGGGGAGCTCCCCTCGATCCGGGAGTTGGTATAGCCCTTGTAAATTTTCGATTTTAGGTATTCGTTTATGTTCTCGTCAGGTTTCAATCCAGTCCTCTTTGTCTCTTTTCACATGTGGTCCATTGCTCTACCCTATCCTAAATCTGCCGCGAACAACCCATATCCTCAAAACCATCTAACATGAATTTTCCTGTGCATGATAAATGATAATCTCAAACATACGTTTTTGTACATTCATCCCCGCAATTCTATTATTTTTCCTCCCATTCCCAATGATAATGGTTTAGTACTCCTTTCCACCGTAATTACATCTCTCAATTTCTTCACCCATCATATTATAGTTTCCCCAACAAGGCATTAATGGAGCCTCGATCGGGCTCCCATATACTTCCAACATTTGCTCCTCCTTCGTACTACGTAGTTCGAATCTCTATTTCGCTTCATGTTCTGTACCATTGAACTATACAACAATTATTACAAAAAAAAAAAAAAAAAAAAAACTATGCAGCAAAAAAGACAGAGACAGACTCGACGGTCACTTCCCCCTTTCACCGTCGAACGGAACAATACTACACTAGGGAATCGTCGCCGGTGCCACATGACATCACGTCGATGGCCGCCACGTGTCGAAAAGGGAGCACGAGAAGGAAAAAGGGGACCGGCCGGCGGGCCGTAAAGGTTGGATGAACAGAAGGGAACATGGGGCGCATACATCGACAGCCTGCATGTGAGCTCAATAGTTTTCTATTATTACTTATTAGGGTTCGATTTCATAATCCTTATTTGGTTCAATCCACCAACCAAACCAAACAACTTTCTCAATTGTCAAGTCCTCACTTATTATTATTAATTATCTGCCTTAATCATGTCCCTTTGTCTCCTATTCATTGTATATTTTGTTCGTACAAGGAATATGTATATAGAGAAACAAGGGGGGAGCTAATTAATTGTCAGGGATTAACTCGTCATGTTCAACTAGGTCGAATCAATCCACATTGTCGTCGTGCTTGGTGTTGTTTTAAACTTTTAATGCATGAACATTGCATTTCTTCGTCTATTGTCGACCTCCACCCATGCACATTTTCATGCTTGGTGTGAATATGTCATATGTGAAACAGATCTATGACTATGACATTGATAATTTATTACATGTCATGTTTTCGTTCGGTTCCGTGTAAAGTGAGTGATATAACGACCAAATTCTTGTCTCGGTACGAGCTTTTCGTTCAATGGATTTATAAAGGATTGGCTGAAAGGTCAATTATCAAATTTCTTTGCACAACAAACTCAAGTTATTGGGGCAAACCTATTCCAGTTTAATTAGTTTTTTTTCTAATTATGAAAGCCTATCACGTTGTACCAGTTTAAATGTGTATGAGTAATCAACTCTAAAACTTTTTTTAGTACGATTCATCAACATTTCAAAGAGATTCAATATTATTTCTAGTTGAAACGCTAGTTTCGTTATCTTTATCTCTAATACGATTTTACACCGATTCTTGAGTTGCACATGTTGCCTTCGTATATAAACCTTTTGGTAGATTTTCTTAATCCATACAAGGATAAAAATTGCGTCATGTCTGAGATAAAACCATCCATGAACACTTAAGTTATGTTCGGACGGAATATATTACGACGGTGAGTTGGAATGTAACCTTCTGTTGTTCTGTTACTACGAGGTATTGCTAGACCTCAAAATTATAAGTTATAACCATACCGGCAAATGGTGTTCCGGTGACATTAAAACACCGACGCCGGTGAAGCAAGTCAAGCTGACGTGTTAGCCAGGTGGGATGGGCAAACTAGATTACTTGTATGACACGTGACCGCAACATAATTATATAACGTGAAATGGACGAGAGTTTGGACTTTGGGGAGTGGGGCACCGTTTTGTTGGGACCACAGGGTGCCATGTAATTAATCTGACGAGGCAAAGAAATATAAGCAAATGAGGTCAATATCAATTTGGTAATTCATTTCTTATAGATGTGTAAAAAATGTACACTCAATCCAATTTTATAGACAATCGAAAGATAACTTGCTCGAACGAATTGATAATTGTTCATGTTATCCATTTCATATGTCAAACTGCCTTGTATAAAGAAAAAATTGACCGACTCAGTTGTCGTAGTCTGATGATCGAAGAGATCATCTATCAAATTATCGCATTTTTTACGTTCCAGTAAATGATGCTCGACTTATGCATTGTACAAAACCATGGGTATGCAACAATTATGAAGTACTAGGCAAAGGAGAGAGAGAGAGAGAGAGAGAACCCACCTTGGATAATATAGATTACTATGTTTCATATACATGGCGGTGAATTAGTAGCAAAAAAAATAATGCAATAGGATATGAAAAGATGGCATTCTTGTTGGATCTACAATATATAGATATAGGCTCCCTCTTTTTTAAATATGTTTTCCCATAACTAGCATGAATGTCTAATTGGACTTTCTTATTAATAATTTGATGGATGTCCCTCAGGGCTAATGGGAAGGGGGCAAGGTGCTCAAAGAGTTCAATCCTTGCATGTTATGGTGTCCCTCCACTTTTAGGTCTTTAATTAAAATGGAAAAAGTACAATTGTATATATAAATATTAACTCTTGTTAGAAAACAACAACACATGGACTAATTTCTCTAAAGAATGTATATGGATTGTTATTTGAGTTGTAAGAAATTAAGAACGCACGAATTTATTTGTGAATCTAGAGAAATTTGAGTTAGTTCACTTGTGTAATTATAGAGTTTGTTATATTAACCAATCTCAATCGATTCTGATTCTGTATTATCTGACCTGCGAGCAATGTGGGAGGAGTTGCAAGTCTTAGTCTTGTTCTGTCTCTAACCTATAGAGCCAAATTATCTGATATGACTCACTCTTCAGTCCTTATGACATATATGTATGGTTATTCATCCTAATAACCATTTCGTCTAAATTGTCATTCATAATTCCAAGGGTTTCACTATAGTATTGAGCTACAAGTGCAGTTTCGAAATGGCTATCACTTGATAGTGGATTGACACTAGGAGGGTGTTATTAAAACATCTTTAAAATTGTTGTGTTTGAATTGTTGTGCACTTATGATGACCATTTCTAACTTCTTAATGAAGTATGGTCCAACTCCAACTCCAACTCCAACCATATGTTGTTTTGGTGTAGGTCTATATGGTAGGTTGGATATATGATAAACCGTATGGCTTGCTACTAATGCATTACTATCATAGATGCAACTGTATTAACGCTCATATGGACAACCACTAAGTGATATTTTAGTAATTTAGTAGACATTATATTTGTAGTCTCAATGTTAAAATAAAATAAAACAATATATTCAACTAATATCATACCAGTGTAAGATCGTTAAACCTAATCAATATTGCTATGAATTTCCAATGAAACTATTAAAACCTTGTCGAGATGTTATTTCCTGTAACAACTAATTTGTACCAATCTGTATGGTGGTGATCGATTTTTTCGATTCCGTCAAGACACTGTTTTATAATCTTAATTTAGGTGAAAAATAAGAAAGAATTTGACAAAAATAAACAAGCCCAAGCCCAAAACGTGCTGGGAAGTAATAAGAAAAGGGAGGAAAAAATAACAGAGAAGCTTATAAGAGCTGAAAAGTCAAATCACTCCAACTCCAGCTTTCAACAAAACTACAAAAGAAAGAAAACAAAACAAACCCCAATTTCCCCTCCTTCCTTCGTCTCTTTCACCCTGCACAAGTACTGCCAGACCTCTCCCTATTTCCCAACCTCTCCCTCTCTCTCCTTGTGTCTTCACCAGTCCCTTTCTTCTCCTCTTGCAAAAGGAAATCTTCTCCACCATCAACCCACTGCTCAATTTCCTTTTCCTTCACTTCCCCCAAGCTCACTCCTCTGTTTTTTCCCCTGTTCCCCCCATCATCTTTAGCTCAATGATGGCGGTGAAACCAAACCCCATTGGCTAAACGTTTCCTCCTTTCCCCCCTTTTTCCTCCCCAGCTACAACCCCATAAGCCTAGAAACAATGCTGGACCCAGACAGCTACGATTCTTCCCATGTTTCATCTTCATCATCATCTTCTTCTTCTTCAAGCTCTGTTTTCTCTTCTTCCTCTGTTTTTCCGTGGCCGCCGGTCGGGGCGCCTATGATGCTGCAGAGAGACCAGGACGACCATCTGGGACACTTCGACAACTCCGTCAATGCGGTGTCGTTTGGGTTCGTTGCCACGGCAATCCTCATCTCGATGTTTTTGGTCATGGCCATCTTCGAGCGGTTTCTCCGGCCGGGTGGTTCCGGTCAACGGACCGGCGACCTCGAGTCCCAGATGGGTTACAACTCCAAGCTCCGCCACCCTTCTCCCAAGGTGAGTCATTCCAAAAGTTCTCATCTTTGTCCATAACTTCAGCATTATCCTTCCCCTTCCTTGCATTTTGCTCTGCCATGACTTCATCAACCCACACGTTGAAATGGTCTCCAAAGCTGGTTTCTTTTTAGGTAATTTTGTGGAAAGTAACGATATTTTCTGCAAATTTACCAAGTTTGTTCGAAAATTTGAGCTGGGTTAATCGAAGTTCTTAACTTTGAGTTAGGTAGGGAAGAAGAAATGCCTGCATGTTTTCAACTTGGTTGGTTGGCAGAGTACCTTTTCTCTTCTGGTTTTTGTCTGTGTTTGTTTTCTAGATGAGTTATGAGTAAAGAGACCCACCAATCAATTGGGACAATTTAGAGTACACATTTTGTTGTGTTGGTCATGAATCTTTGGCTGGAAAGGAAAGGACCCATCTTTTCATGTCTCATTTGTATACAACGGAGTACTGATTTTGGGTTGGCAGCAAAAGGCCCTTGCGGAGGAAATGATTCCTCTGTTTTGGACAAGTTTTGAGGGGGGATTGAAGCTTTCTTCTTCCTTTCTCATCCATGTCTTTGCTCCAATCACAAACAAACAAAACTACCATGTTTAACTGCCCCTCTGATGTAGTTGTAGTTTGTGGGGATTGTGAAAGCCATGTGTTTTGATTTAGACCTTAGATTAGGGTTCTTGCAGAGTATCCTATGAAAACTACTTGGGAACATGAATGCACATCACAGAAGTTTGGTCATCCATGTGCAATACTCTTTTGGGGGAACACAAATTGGGCTCCATCTCTCCTGATTCCAACCTTATTGGCCAATAAGAAAGGGCCTTAAAAGAAAAGAAAAACCTCCTGAACAAGATAGGTACATTAGTTAGTCCCTACACAACTAGGACTTGTCTGCCTGCTTGATCAGTATTTTGCCCTTTGTTTTCTTCTATGAAGTGACCATTTCCTAATAATATGTCTTGGAATGGCGACCTAACACCCAAAGAATCCAATCAGGTTTGTGAAATTAATAAGGTCCATGTACCACATCTTGTGTCACCTCACCTCATTGTGTAGACAAGAAAGGCTCTGTCAAATTGGTCATTAATGGTGGTAGTTAGGAAATAGGATGGCATGAAATTGCTGAAACTCATGCATATGAGTTGTTAGTTCCAGGGGACACAATGTTTGGTTCATAACTGTCATGTCATGTGACAACAAGTTTACTTGTTAGTGCAAAACATCAATATAATGCTTCATATTGCATATTAAGATGATCAATTAGGTAATTAATTTCCCTCGAGAAGTTGAATTTATTATGCTTTCTTTGATAGTTGAGATACACTTATGGCTCCACAAACAAAAGTACCACAAAAGAGCTTTCTTTTTTTTATCTTGATTTGAAATGGGGCCACTTAAAGTTGAGTAGAAAGAACCCTAATTAACATTGATGTGGTTTATCTATGGAGTGCTTTACTAATTACTATTAAGCAGTTGCCCTTTTTGAACATAATCTATTTTATCTTTGTTTACCAATTGTTTGTTAATGGTAGATGACGATATATGCAAATGGGGTATCGGTGTTGATGCCTGGAGACAACATACCTACATTCATAGCACATCCAGCGCCGGTTCCCACCTTTGCTGCCCAACATCACCAGCCGCCGCCGCTGCCACAACCACCACCTCTTCCTCCTCCTCAGCCGCACCACCATGAAGCCGCGGAGGAGACACCGGGCTCGTCGTCTCAGGGGGAACTAAGCCGGTGAGGGGTGTTTTGGCTGGGAAATGGGGAAGCTTTTCTTGTATATATATGATAGGGTTGGGTTTGCATTGCATGTATTAGGGTTTTAGTAGTTGGTCGGGGAGTTGTTTTTGATGAGTTGGGGAAGACGCTCATTTTTTTTTCCAAAGTAGCAGGCAGAAGTTGGAGAGTTTGGGTCTATTTTTCACCCTCCGATTGGATCTCTAGAGTGAGTTATTACTATCTTGTAAACATTTTGATCCGGGAGGGGAATGTAATTATGCATTAATATTGAGCATTGGAAGCTACATATGGAACCATGGTCCCAAAATGAGTTTCATTCAAGTTTCTGATAAGGGTGCGACACAACTCTTTCTAAGGAGCTCGAGATAGTGGCCCAGTCATTTCAGAAGAAGGGGTGCATCTTCACAAAGAGGAGTCGCAATGATCGAGCCCGAGTGACTATTTACAGTAATATAGGTTTGCAAAATGTGATAAGAACATGTATTGAGGTTGACACCCGATGAATTAATGTTCCATGAGTTTCAATCAACTAACTAAAAGAATTTTGAAGATGTTATGACAATACTAACTAATTGGTCGTTCTAATCCAAATTACTAATCCAACATAGTCCAAAAATCACTAATTACACATAACCATATATCTATCAGCATATTAGACAAACATTAATACATTTGCATTGGGGGGATTGATACTGATTGAGTACATAATTGATCAAGTGTAAACTGATAACATAAGAGGATAATAGATTTATAAGTCGTAATTAAGAGGTATTTAGGATTTTATTTTATGAAAACATAATTTTTTTAGAATGGAAGTAAAAAAAAAATTGAATGTACGTCTCATGGCCAGTCCCAATAGGTAAAGGCAGCAACGCCGCTCCCAAAGGCAATGGAATATGAGAACTTCAAACCTCCTTCACAATCCCCCGTCCGGCGGAGTTGCTCCGGCGAAGGAATCACCTCGACGCCTTCAAGGGAATAAAAGGCCTTTGATTTCCGACGTTTACTCCGGATCTTACAAGCATTGTCGATTCTTTTGCTCGCTCCGAAATTTTCCAAGTAAGGGATTCTCGCAAACCCCCCGTCGAAATAAGATAAACCCAGTCAAACTAAGCAAATAAAAGAATCGCCGGCGGTGACCGGAAGATCTAAAACAGAGACGAGTTTTCGAATGTGCGGAGAGTTACTAATAAACGCATCTGAACGGTAAACAAAAGATGCATCATCAGCGAAACTCTCAGCAAGAATTAGTATCGGCCTCCCATGAATCAGGTCAAGCACCGCCACTGTTTTACGAATGCTCTAAGCTCGCCTGGGATTATGAAGGCCTTTTTCAATCCGAACATACAACCAAAAACTCAGATCTATCGGGAAAAAAACAATGAAAAGAAGTACAGAGAGAGACAGAGTGAGAATCAAGTATTTGAAAGCTCCTATAGAAACAGTTCTCCTTTTTTTTCCACCAAAAAATCAGTAAATAAACACCAGCTATCTCTGCAGTAGATATCAAACAGATTGGAGGCCGCAGTTTAGTGGTTTGGAGGAGACGATGGGAGTGTAGTTTTATAGCTGGCACGGATTGAGGATGTGAAACCCTAAAGGCTTTTTTCAATAATTGATTGGGCTTGGTCTGTGGGCTAGTGTTTTATAGCTTCTTGGGCTGTTAATTTTTAGTGGACTTATCAAGCCCGAATTTAGAAGGCCTCATCTGGACGCGAGAGAAAGGATCTTAGGATCCCACACCGGCCCGTTTGGTCATATAATTTCGGTAATTAGTGTCATAAAGTTCTGGACTTTGTACAAAACAAGTACAATTTTTTTTAATTTTGTATGATTTGGCAGTGCACATACACTTATTTCGAATAATTATTAATTTAATCTCAATTATGTTCAAAATAATGAGGGTCGGACTTGTCACTAATGTTTACCAACCCATAAAAACATCACGTCGCGTCTAATATGAAGAATGTAGGATTACTGTCAATTTGGTCGTCATTAAATGCTGCTTAAAGTAAAAAAGAAAATAAAATCGTCATTCAATGAATGTTTTCTTTTGTGTGTAGTGAGCGTAGAACGACGAGACAATAAGTTTAATCAGATGCCTAATGATTTGTGAAATCTTCTACTAGTATTTCCAAATTTGAGAAATACTATACGAGAATGCGAGATACAACAGCATGTTCACTCGTTTAGCAATGACGTGTAACAATAAGTTCTGTCTCATCCTCCTGATGACTAATGGGATGTTAGAGTAGTACTCACCAAATTGAAGAAGTGAGCAATATATAGCAAGTTTTGTTCTCCTCTCATTAAAGCTAGAAATTCCACTTCCACACACACAAGTCTCGAGCAGCACATGCTTTGCACTGTTTCCTTCCTTTTGTCTTAATTAAGCCACTAATCCATCTTATCACAACTTTTGATCTTAGACAAAGAAGAACCATTGGTTTCTGAGGATCCAGCTAGGATTGTAGTAGGTGACCAGCAGCTAGGGTTTATAGTTATTAGAAACTAAATACCTTAAGGCACACGTAACATACTCGTAGATAGCAATACAAACGCAATGCATGCACGATGATGAACAAGCTAGGGGTCTCTTTCTTCTCGTTTCATCTCTCAAGTGTTTTTTTTTTTACTTACTTAATCACCAAGATTAAGATCAAAAGAGAGAAAAGCAACGTCGTAATGAAGCTGGCTTTCCACCATTGCCACCACTAGCCAATCGCCATTAGTTGAATCCAACCCTGCAAGTTTCCCAAGCTCCCTCATGGGTTTCCCCTAATGGTCGAAAACGAGCTTTAACACCCAAATCCAGCTTCTCCCCCCTTGCAGTGCATTAAAACACTAACTATAGAACAATCCTTAACACCATTGTTTTGCTGAAACTTTAACCTAATCTAATTACAAGCTTTAACAACAAACCCTATAAATACCCTCCATTGATCTACAAACCAGCGCTCCACACACCACAACACACAACCCTTCTCCCACTTCATCCTCCTATCTATCACCGAAACTTCCCAACTATACAATAATGATCACATTCTCCTCCATGTCGCCACTTTCAAAGCCCGTGAAAATAATCGCCTTAGTCATCCTCGTCATCCTCATCCTCTCCCTCACTTCCTTAATCCTCTTCTTAACCCTACGTCCCCACCACCCAACGTTCACCATCCCCAAACTCGACGTCCTACAACTAAGCCTCGTCCCGAGCCTGCCACACGACCTCCAAATCCAGTCCTTATTTCAGGTCACCTTCCTCTCCCACAACCCGGACAAACGAAGCAGCGTCGAGTACGATCCAGTCGAGGTGGCTGCCTCGTACAAGGGCCAGCGGATCGCCGGCGTAGGGGTTTACCGCGGCTTCCACCAGCCGCAAGGGGAGTCCGATCTGATGACCGTCCCCATCGCCGGCTTCCACCTGCCATCGGTGACGGCGTGGTACGAGCTGGGGATGGATCTCGGCGCCGGGAAGGTGGTGGTGAGCGTCGAAGCGAGCGGGAAGCTGAGGTGGAAGATTCTAGGGTTTCTCCCGACTCGTAGGTTTAGGTTTCGCGTCGACTGTAGCGCTGTTGTTGTCTTGTACGGGCCAGGGATCTGGACGCTGCTGGAGGAGCCTCAGTGTTCCAAAACCCACGTTTGATTTTTGTCCATATATATATGTAATGTATGTATGTGATCATCAAAATATATATATTTGATAAACTCCAATAATGTTGCTTCCAAATCGACTATCAAATTGTTCGTTTAATACTTAGGCGCCATATCAACGAAAAGAACAACCTAACGCTTGTAAGGGTTGGCAAAATCATGGGGGTTTCCTAGAAGAAAACCAACCTAACACTATCACGGTGGATATAAACCTAGGCGAAACGACCCTTTTGTACTGTTGTCACAACAAATTCATCTGGCTAGTTATCTCAGCTCAGTGAAGTTAAATATGGTCATTTCGGTAATTTTCCATGCACATTGACGAGATTTTACGGGAAATTAAAGGAAATGGTGTGATTAGGGAAACTTATGAGATTTAGGGGCTTTTTCAATGAAAAATAAAGTTGAAAGGGTTTAGTTGGGGAAACCCATAATTTAGAGGCTATATCGACGGATGGCATTTTAGTCTTTTTCTCATGCACGTCAACGGCCATTTTATGGAGGAGAACTACTTGAAACGAGTAGGTTAGGAAAATTTTGTGTTAACGGCTGATGGTTGTAGCATTTTTCTTTGTGGTAGTGTTATTGATGGTTGTCTTTGTGTTAACGGTTGTATATATATTTTTACATCTACCATTTAATTTATTGATGGATACTACTGTAAAATTATATGAAAGATTTCATTTACATCTTCTTCCAAATATGAAAATTAGAAATCATTTCTAAAAGTTCAGGATTCGCTCCAAACTGAAGCCATAGAAATGAATTCCAAAATGATAACTATGCTTCTCAAAATAAATGAAATTCCTTTTCTAATTGAGTTAATTCTAAAGGAGGGGAAGTTGGATGGGAGAGGACTGAGGAGAAGGGAGAACTTGTTGAGAAAATTAAACCCTGATAAGGGGACGAATTTCCACCCATCCTCTCCCTTCACTTTGCCTTTTTTCTTTTCTATTCCAAACCATTATCTTACCATGAATAAAATTAAAATAACACATCGTAATAATGGTCTTTCTTCAAGCTCACTCCATTATTCATTGCATAATATAGAGTCCATCATCACAATACAACATTATTGCCATAAAGTTCTACTGTTTCGTCGGAGACAGAGAACCAGTGATCTCATGTGTCTCATTAGAAGTGATAATATTATCAATATTTTCGCGACAAATACACTGATGCTTCAAACAAGTACAGATTTGACACCCCTGGTCGATACACCATTGGATGCAATTTGGTACAACACTGCATCTGTATGGGATTCCGTCCGCAATTCTTATCTCTGAACCTTCAATCAAGCCACACTTATTAGCTTATAATTGATAAATATATATTAGAAATTTAGTGTATAACTCTAAAACTAAGAGCGTAAAATCAACAGATACATACCAGCTATACAAAACAGGAGAGCAACAAAGAATGACAATTTCATTGCAGTCTTTTCCATTTTTCTGCTACGATTGTAGTCTCTCCCCTTTTCTTACACTTCTTGCAAGTTTTATGTCAATCTATAGTTTGAGTGTTTGATGAACTATTCTTAATGTCACCAGTTCAATTTATAAATAAGTGATAAAGACTAAATAGACCAAACTCATTACTATGCTTGAAATAAAAGATATTCTTTCCTTTTCTATTATGGTAATAAATATCTAATGATAATAACAAATATTCTTTGCTTTGGCATTTTCCATTAATGAATCAAATGACATAAACATTATATAAGAAAAGACATTGATAGTCTTCCTTTTACCTAGATCCCGTATCCTAGTAAATATCCCCCTTTTGTATGCTTGTAATTTAATTGTATACACTTCCCATTTCTACGAAGTGACCTTTGTTTGTGTCCTCAATGAATCTGAAAAACACGACCTCAATATTAGATTAACGGTTGTATTTTCGCTTGTTTGGATCGTGTTGCTTCCAAATCGACTATCAAATTATTCACTTAATACTTAACCGAAGAAAAGAACAACCTAGCACAAGGGTTGACAAGATCATGGGGTTTCCTAGAAGAAAACCAACCAAACACGATCACGGAGGACATTTATAATCCAGGCCTATGACGAGGACAAAGGCGAGACGAATCTATTTTTGGTTGTCACAAACACACATTTCTATCTCGACTTGATTAAGTTAAACAAGGTCATTTTGGTTATTTTCCATGCTCATTAACAGGATTTTATTGGTAATTAAAGGAAATGGTACGATTATGGAAATTTTCAATAATTTAGGGGCTTCTTCAACAAATAACACATTCCTATCTCCATCATGTCGGCGGAGCCGCTCTCCTCGCTCGCAAACCTGCCACCGCCGACCCTCCCTCCATCCAACACGACGTCGACTAACATGACGACGTCGTCCTCACCGGCAAATTTCTCTCTCACCGGCTCTCTCTCTCCCAAGCCATATATGATTTTTTTTCTTTCGGTATTGGTCCTTGTGCTAGTGTTATTGACGGTTGTCTTTGTGTTAATGATTGTGTATATGTTGTGGTAGTGGTAGTGGTAGTTACGAGTGGAATTTTACTTATTAAAATTGGAAATTGGGGGTACAATCAGGATCGTAGAATTTTAAATTTCATATAAAATTAACATATACTAATAAGGTAAATCATTAATAACACAAATACGCATAACATTTAAAACTATAATTCCAAGATTAATGCTCCAAAATAATCATTTTGAGGGTTATCTAACGCGTAAGTCAAAAATCAAAATAATTCACAAGGAAGGAATACAACTCATGGGGTTTGCCTCTTGTTTTTTATGTTGTCTTTAGGTAGTTTAACTCAAAGTAGTACTCTTGGCCGATGAATTTCAACACCGTATGATAAGCATGATTATAAACTAAGAGTAAATGGACTACAATCGAATAATTAATGTCAGTGGCTTGGTACAAATATATTCATTAATCAATTAATTAATAGTTATTTTATTCATACGTACGTACAATATTTGGACATGAACCAAAACCAACACCCGCAAACAGGACGAAGGGAAAGGGATGACCGAGTCCTAATTTGATTGTTTTTATTCTTTTCAAATTTAGTTTAGTAGGGAATATATCTTAGAAGATTCCCGTCATTGCCCTCTCAGTCGAATCAATTCCCCTTCTTTTAAATTTGCTCATATATTCTTTTTATTCTCATACTATTTTAATCCCAATTTTGTATATTTTTATACTTTTAACGATTTTATTCTTGATTTTAAACAATTTTAAGGTCCATCGATTATATAGTAAAATCAAGATCCAAATACCGAAGTAAAATCCTACGATTTTACGACCAAAATCCCGATTTTGACTTCCTTGGTTACGTGTATGGTAGTATTTCTGCATATTTTAAGGTAGTGGTATGGTGTGGTAGTGTTTTGTGAAGGTTAAAGTGGTATTTTTTATTTGATATTGATTTCTTGATTTATTTTTGTAGTGGTATTAGTTTTCTGAACCGGAATTGGTGTTTTTTAAGTTATTGTTTTTTTAATAATTTATTATTGATTTCTCATTTTATTTTTGTAATATATTGGTTCGTCTAAACGGAGTCAAAAGAAAGAATTTAGAAGAAGAAGACATCCAGTTTTGGTTGAGCTTGTTGTTCCTATTTCCTAACTAGGCAATGGATAATACTTGGGAGAGAACAATTTGTTTTGGGCATAAAATTAAAACAACAAATTATCACTCCATTATTGCTCACTCCATTATTCAGAGATCCGAAGAAGTCCGTAGGTCAATGCCCCACTCTTCCAGAGGCCAAGGTCCTCATTCAAGGAGAACATATGTTTCTTTCCCTAGTGAAGGTATCCTGGTTCGATTTGACGGGGCAACAAAAATCCCTCAAGGATGTGCAACCGGCTTCGTCGGCTTTTCAGGTGATGGAAATATCACATTTGCAGTTGGTAAATTCTATCAGGGCATCTCAGATGCCTAAATATCATAATTACTTGCTATTCGTGATGCTATGAAATGGTGTCTTACCCACAATTTCTTGACTGTTGTCTTTTGTGGGGGACTCTCAATTGGTCATCAAGGATGTGACATCAAAGAAGGCTTCACATTCAAGAGCGGAAGCAAATTTAGAGGAAGTTCACTCTCTCCTTGCCTCCTGCCTATCTGTCTCGTGTCTTTTTGCTCCTCGGAGCTTCAACAGAGCTGCCCACCTCTTGGCAAAACAGGCTCTTTTATCGGGAGTCCGGTTGCATACGGACTACCGTTCTTTTTTAGTGTCTTTCTTGTAATTTTGTTGACTGGCCATGCCCTGGGGGCTTATCTTGGATAAAAAAAAAGAGTCCATCATCACATTACTACGTTATTTCCATAAAGTTCTACTGGTTCGTCGGTGACAGAGAACCAGTAATTTGGTGTGTTACATTAGAAGTGATATTATTATCCTTAATATTTTCACGACAAATACATTGATGTTTTAAGCAAGTACAAACTTGACACCCCTGATCGAAACACCAATTGATGCAATTTGGTACAACAACGCATCTGTGTACCTCCGCAGTTGTTACCTCCGAACCTTCAATCAAACCACACTTATTAGCTTATAATTGATAAATATATATTAGAAATTCTGTATATAACTCTAAAAATATGAGTGTGAAACCAACAGAGACATACCAGTTACAAAAAACAAGAGAGCAACAAAGAAAGTCATTTTCATTGCAGACTTCTCCATTTCTTACACCTCTTGCAAGTTTTATGTCAATCTATAATTTTAGTGTTTGATGAACTATTCTTAATGTCGCCGGTGTAATAATTTATAATGATAAAGATCAGAGGAGATCAAAATTACCATTATTCTTTCCTTTTTATATGGTTATTCTTTAAATAAAATATATTCTTTTTCTTTTTTATTATGGTAATAAATATCTAATGATAATAACAAATATCCTTTCCTTTGGTATTTTCCATTAATGAATAAAATGACATCAACATTATAAAAAAAAATTGATATTGATATTCTTTCTTTTATATGGACCCTGAATCCTAGAAAATATCCCCTTTTGTATGCTTGTAGTTCAGTTGTACTTGTACACACTTCCCATTCCTAACAGGTGGTTTGCACCGATTAATTTTCAATGTGGTATTTGTATAGTCAAATAACTCAATTCATGTGGTATATCTGTGTTACTTTAGTGTTAATTGGATTTAAGTATCTCGTTTAGTAGAACCATACACATGTGATATTTGACAAAAATAGAGAGATAAAACGAGTTATTTCGAAATAAGGTGAGAGTTATTTTAAATAGCTCGTTTTGAATTTTTTTTTAAATAACTCACTGCCCAAATAACTCTTTTCACTAAAATGTTGTGAGTCAAATACTTCATCAAAAGACCCCATATATCCTAATCCAATATATAATTATATATGCAATATCCAACAATATATAGTTCCATAAAATAATATGATATGGGAATTTTCAACCGCGGAAAAGAAATGGGGATTTTCAAATGAGGCATATGGAGGTTTGTTTTGTTGCTTAGCATGAAAGGGAAATGAAGTGGTGAAAAAAAAGAGAGAAAATTTAGGACCAAATTTGGTGGTTAGGACAAAAGGGAAAATATAATGATTGTTATGATAAGTGACCATTCAAGAAATCTATGAGATGTTGCCATTATATATACAACATTAAACGGCTACATAAATTTTGGAAAACATTGCTAATCTAGATCAGTTATAAATCCACCCCCCACTCGCCACTCCCACCAAAATCTGTCCCCCTCAACCAATATAATCCTCCCTTTCTTTCCCACCAACGAATATGTAGTAAAAAGGCTAATACCATTAGGAAACGGGAACTATTAAAAATGTGTTATTTGTGTTCTAGATTATCCAATATAACATATGTGTCATAAACTATTTTTCCGTTAGAGTTGACCAGCGTTGACCGTTAGTTTTTAACTGAAAGTCTAGTTAATGCTGATGTGACATCTGACGTGGAATTTATAATTATTTTCCATATAAAAGAATAAACTATGAAAAATTACAAAAAATAAAAAAATATCTGTAAACTCCCCTGTTCTCCTTCCCTCCGCCGAACAGATCCAATCAGGTTCTTTCTCAACCACTTATCCTAGAACGCTACAACATCTCCGAGCTTCATCTCGTGGCCGGCCATCAACTCGTCTACTGTCGAAGAAGGCGGACGAGTCAGCGTAATCAAACCAGATGGGCGGAGGAGCCTTCGATTCCTTGCAATTATTTGGTGGAGGAGGGGAAAGAACTCTTGTCGGGGAAATAAAGTTGTTGCTTCCTTGTATGGATTGTAACCATCACAGACCGGTGTTCGTCGCACCACAAAGTCCCCGCGCGTCGCCGAAGGCGTAGCTGAACAGTCTGGCATTTTTCACGCAGACGCCGCACCGCTTTGCAGGGACTTAGTCGGCGGCGGCGACTCCGTCTCTTCGGGGAAGATAGAGGGGAGAGGGAAGCTCGCCAATTTCCTGGTCTCGCAGACGCCGCACCGCTTGGCAGGGACTTAGTCGGCGGCGACGACTTGGAGCAGACGGCGACTCCGTCTCTTCGGGGAAGACAGATGGGAGAGGGAAGCTCGCCAATTTGGTTTTTTTTTTGTTCTAAAATTTTGGATGATTAGATACGGGTGAGTTTATTAGTTTTTAGTTTTTTTTTCAATTGTAGTATTTATTTCATTTGAATTAAAAATATGATGTGTCAATGACATGACATTTATGTGGTTGTTGCGTGTTTGCCACGTCAGCAAAAGTCAAAATCAAGTTGACCACCGTCAGGTCAACCGTTATATATAACGGTCAACAAAAATCGTCAGGACATAAATGACACACAACTATCATAGTTTGAGACACATATGTCATATTAAATAGTTTAGGACACAAATGACATAATTTTAATAGTTCGAATTTACTGGTGTTATTAGCCTTAATTAAAAACTTTCTTTTCTCTTCCAAGTTTCAGATGCTCTCAGCTGCTGGATAAGTGCGAGACAAGATAATCAACCATTACGAATTTACGATACACGTATTAGTGACTATCGTCGTGGTTGTTGTTAATGCATTGCCGCGAGTGCAAACGTTCTCTCATGCTCAATTCCCACACCGTACCACTATGATAATAAACTTCTTCACATGGCTCGCGTTTAGTTTTCTCTTCATTCTGTTATTGTGAAGGCTTTTTTTTTTGTCTCGTCCTTCATATATTGGCATGTTTCATATGCTTATTTATATGTACTTTTTACATGTTTGTAAGCTTGTTAAAAATGCTTAGGTTAGGTTTTACATCACCCTTTAATTCATTGAGTGGATATTATCGTCAAAGTATACTTAAGAATTCATTTCCATCTTCTTCCAAATGTGAAAATTAGAAATCATTTCTAAAAGTTCAGGATTTTCTCCAAACAAAAACTACACAAATGAATTCCAAAATGATTTATGATTCTCACAAGAAATGACATTCCTTTTCAAAAGGAGTTGGGTCTCATTGGGTCGTCAACTTCGTATTGACCAAATATTGGCGAAGATTAAATTAGAAGAAGAAAGCCCAATTGTCGGATTGAAAATCCAATAACGACTTGCCTCAACTTTCTTTTCAACCCTGCAAAAAATTGGATGGAAGGGATTGTTTTGGTTGCACTTGTTGTTCCTACTTCCTAACTAGGCAATGAATAATACTTGCGAGAGACGGATTTGTTGTGGGACGCGAATGATGTATAAAATTAAAATAAAAAAAAAACTATCATAACATTGGTATGTCTTTTAGCTCACTCAATTATTCATTGCATTGAAGAGTCCAGCATTACAATACAACGTTATTTCCATAAAGTTCTAATGATTTGTCAGAGACACAGAACCGGTGATTTGGTGTGTCACATTAGAAGTGACATTATTACCATTACTATTTTCAGGACAAATACACCTATGTTTTAGGCAAGTACAAATTTGTCACCCCTGGTCGAAACACCATTGGGTGCAATCCGGTACAACAACGCAACTGTGTCCATCCGCAATTCTTACCTCCAAACCTTCAATGAAGCAAAACTTATTAGCTTATAATTGATATATATATATATATATATTAGAAATTAGGGTTAATACCACTGGAAATACCATCCTTTAGAGAGAGTGCCATTTATACTACATGCTTTCAATAAACACAAAAATATTCCAATCTTTTAGGAGTTTGTGCCATTTGTGTTACCCGAATTTATGTTGACCGTTAAAACTGACGGTTGACCTGACGGTGGCCCTCTTTGTGTCCACGTATGCGACACGAAGATGCCACGTTGAAAAAAAATACTTAAATTTTTAAAAAAATATTATTTATTAATTATTTATTATTCTATTAACCCCAACCCCTATTTTTAACCCCAACTCACCCTATCCTTTTACAACATCGGGCCTCTATCCCCCAAGCTCGACGGACGGCGGCGGCGGCGGTTCTTTCCTGCACTTTCTTTCCAAACGACGACGGCGGCGGTGATTGGCATCGCTCTGGACGGCGATTCGACCGCTCCGCTCCTCCGATCTCACTCCCAGCAACGATCTGAAGTCTTCGCCTCTACTCGCACGCCGATTGATTCCGCCCAGCTCTCCGATTTAGGGAAATTTTTTGGGAAGGCGAAGCTAGGGTTCTTCGTCTGTGTTTCGCAGTCGAGGGAGAGGGGAAATGTTGAGAACGAAAAGAGTAAAGGGGAGCCCGATCCGGTTCGTTTTTAGTTTTTACTTTTTACTTTTTTTTTCCAGTAATAAACCACGTCAGCGACACGTAGGATCCTATTAAGCGCTGACTGTGCGTTGAAAAATCGCACAGTTATGTTTAACGGCCCAACTAACGGAGAAGTCTTTTTATTATACAAATGGCATTTCGAAAACGATGTAATATAAATGGCACTTTCTCTAAAGGATGGTATTTCCAGTGGTATTAACCCTAGAAATTATGTATATAACTCTAAAACTGAGTGAGTAAAACCAACGGATACATACCAACTACGAAAAACAGGAGAGCAACAAATAAAGTCAATTTCATTGCAGTCTTCTCCATTTTTCTGCTACGATTGTATTCTCTTCCCCTTTCTTACACCTCTTGCATATGTCAATCTATAATTTAAGAGTTTGATGAACTATTCTTAATGACACCAGTTTAATTTATAAATGATAAAAGAGACCAAAACCATTATTATTATTTCTTCATATATGGATATTCTTTAATGAAAATACAATATATTCTTTTTTATTATGGTAATAAATATCTAACAATAATAACAATTATATTCTTTCCTTTAGTATATTCCATTAATAAATAATAAAATGACATCTAACATTAGTAAAAAAAATCAACATTGATAGTCTTCATTTTATATAGACCCTGAATCCTAGTAAATACTCCCTTTTGTTTGCTTGTAACATTTTTTTATGGTTAATAAAAATTGCATTAAGCTCCAGCACCCTTTTAAGGGTCCTCTCAAGAATACAAAATGTATTACAATCAACCATCAAACTTGCTAGACTAAACTCTATCAACTAAATAACTATGAAAAGTTGAACAAAACATTACATATATCCACTCTACTATTAATAAAAAAACCCCGCTTTTGATAGAATTCGGGCCACAAGTAGGGCTGCAAACGAGCCGAGTCGAGTCGAGTTTTTGCTTAGCTTGAGCTCGGCTCGTTTATTAATTTTTCAGCTCGAGCTCGGCTCGAACTCGAATTTTGATAATCCAGCTCGAGCTCGAGCTCGGCTTGAATAAAAATAATCTAGCTCGAGCTCGACTCGGTAGAGCTCAATAAATGCTCATTAACATAGCTTGTTAAGCTGAGTACAAGTTCGGCTCAAGATGAGCTCGATTTAAAATCATTTTTGCTGGAAAAATGTATAAACATAAGAATTTAAATGATAGAAAGAACACTAGAAACTAGAAATAACATCTAAATTTCATACACATCTGTATTATAAGACAATGTTCATGTTTAAAAGAGTAATTCATCCTTCCACAAGCTCAAAACAAGGCAGCTCGCGAGCTTAGCTCGACAAGCCACCGAATCAAGCTAGCTCGCGAGCTTATCAAGCTGAGCATGGTCTAGCTCAGGCTTGGCTCGTTAACTAACGAGTTGGCTCGCGAGCCGGCTTGTTAAATAACGAGTCGAGTGTCGAACGAGTTTTTTCCGATTCGAACGCCGAGTTGCTCGCGAGCGGCTTGGCTCATTTGCAGCCCTAGCCACAAGTTGTGGTGGAAGTTGCAGGTCACTCCCATAACATCTGTGGCACCTCTCCTTCCAGACATAACTCATTACCATACTCCATATTTGTTTGCCCAACATCATTTTTATACTTGAACTTGTTTGATTGTAATTATGTTGTACGCACTCCTCATTCTTACTTTTTATCGCGCACATATCCTAATCCTATATATGATTGTATACACAATACTCAATTTTACATAGTTTCATAAGACAAATTTACAACATTTGCCGAGTTTGGATGGACAATATAATAGGTTCATAATTAAAAAGAATGTAGCATATTTATTCAGGTGAGGAAAAGATACAAAATTATGTATGCAACGATTAAGGAACAATTATTGTTATTGCTTCAATCTGAGTTAGCATGGATTAAATTATTATCTCTACAGTTAGGAGTTGAACCAATCAGCCGAAATTGAAAAAAAACTACTGAAATCATTCCTATTTGATCACTACCATGAGATTCAAAAATTATAATAAATTAATACAAACTTCACGAACCCAAATGAAACAACAAACAAAGAGAAACAAAGGGAAACAAGGCAATAATCCAAAGTTTGAAATTGAACCCGCGGAAGACGTTACTACTTTGAGAGGTTTTGTTGCTTAGCACGAAAGGGAAATGAAAGTGAAAAAAAATTGGACCAAATTTGCTGAGTTTGGACAAAAGAGAAAATGAAATAATGATTGTTATGGACATGTGACCATTCAAATCCAAGAAATCCATGAGATGTTGCCATTCTATACAACAAAAAACGGCTACACAAATTTTGGAAATCATTGCTCAATTTGCTACCATCATCATCGCCCACCAAAATCTGTCACTCTCAACCACCATGTCTTCACCTTCTTCCCCAACCAACGGCTATGGAGCAGAAAGCTTTCTTTTCTCTTCCAAGTTTAATATGCTCTCCAATGCTGTATTAGGTGCGCGAGACAACCAGCCATTACGACACCACACATTAGTGACTAACATTGTGGTTGTTCTTGATGCATTAACGATAATATACGATGTGCTCACATGCTCAATTCTCGCACCTAATTAGCAATAAGAGAAAAATTCGTTGGTGGTTTTCAACAATGCTAGAAGTTCGGGTCGCCTGCTTTCAGGGGTTCGTGGAGTATGCATTAGAGTTAAGACAATCCCGGTCAGGAGAAAGTTTAAAATAAGGGGGGGAAAATATAAGGTACAAAACCCAGAACTACAAAGTATACAAAACTATCTTACCACTTTTGATATGAATCACACCACATCCAAATACGTATTAGGACCGGTAAGATGTGAATTTTGTAGGTTTTGCAGCCATATCTTAAAATATTAATAAGATTGGGAACAAAGGTAATATAGTAGGGCACAGAATTTTGAATATGGACGAATGCGGGTTTACCTTTTGTTCCAGCTTTTCTCTAGCACGTCAAACACAGGGTGGGTAAAGGACAATAGCTTTTGTTTTGTCCCCCCCAAATCTTTACCCCAGGAAAAGAGCTGACAAATCTTTCTCTTTATCTTATGGTTTCCATCGGATAGTGCAAGTAGATGAATGTCGGGTTGATTGTTCTAAGCTTTTGTTTTAAGAAAATGAACAAGTTTTCTGATAATGTTGGGAGGAAAATGTTGGGTTACTGTGTTGAAGATTTGAAAAGAAAAACCAGAAGAAGGAAACACATAACAGAGGATGGGGGAAGGGAGGAAAAAAAATGGGGTATGAAAACTTCAAAGCATGAAGAACTCAACACTTCATCCACTCTTTGGTCGTATCCTCGTAGCCTTGGGCGGATTTACTGGATTTCGCTCCAGACATCCTTCGTAGAAGGGGAAACCAAATTTATGAAACATATGAACCATAATTTCATTGTTAGCTATTGACAGACTGAAAGGTCGAGCAATAAAAAAAAAGCACACTCATATGTTCGAATATTGACTAACCCAAATAATCTTCCCACATATGACGAGCTTTTGATACATTTTTCACGTATGTTATGTCGATCTTCATATACTACCCTTGTTTATCCTCTTTCTTTTATAAATTTATTTGCAAACCATTGTTAACTTTTTTCATGTATGTTATGTCAATCTTCATATTCGGTCAATTTTTGCAAAATCTGCATTATCATTTCATCATTTTTCTACGCTTAAATTATCGACTTATCTTATTTTCGACTATCAAACAACACTCTTTCTTGGAAGATGATGGCGGTAATCAAGACCTACTCGGCCACAATGAAAGCAAATGGTCGGTAAAAATTCATACTTGAGTTGCACCCAAAATTGACCAAGTTCCGCACTGATCGCCATGAACTGGGAGCGCAGAGGTTTTGTAAAATCAATGAGAGCAAGCACTTTGACAAAGCGCTCCTCCGTGTCTCTTGCCGCAAAAACATCTGCCTCCAAGACCTGACCAATAGTTCCAGTTGCGAACTTCCGGCCAAACTGTCTATTGTAAACATTCATCTCTGACATTCCAGAGTTGCACACGGAAGGGAGCAATGGCCAGCTCATCAAACATAATTTTCGAGATAGATGGAACCTAGGATCGAAGATGGAATATCCTGTCTTTGACAATCCATGGTGAAAGGGTTTGAGATGGCAAGTTGGGAATGGCCAATCGGTCGCCCTCCTTCATGATAATTGGATTCCTAGTTGCCAATTTGATCCCCCAAGCTATAGTCCGCGGATCCTGCCAGAGGGGGGGTACCCCTTGGTGGCGGAGGTTATTTGTGAGGGAGGAGGGAGGTGGTCTGATGAGAAGCTCAGTCAATGGTTTGACCCACCTACCTGTAAGGCTATTAAAGCGATTCCTCTCCCTTGTTGGGACGTGATGGATAAGCTTCTCTGGCATTTTACGGGCGACGGGGTCTTCTCGGTTAAGTCGGCCTATCACTTGGCTGTTGATTTGGACAGGAGGAGGGGTGGGTGGCGATCCTCGGTTAGCTGGATGGATAAGCCGAGTTGGATTAGAGTTTGGGAGGCGAGGATTCCCCCGAAGCTGAAGGTTTTTGTTTGGCAAATTCTTAATCGGGCTCTGCCGACGATGGAGGCGCTTATTGAGAAAAAGGTCCAGGTGCTACCTCGGTGTCCAGTTTGTTGGGATGCCCCAGAGACAATGGAACACCTGTTCCTTTATTGTCCGGTTGTCCGGGCCCTCTGGGATTATTCTGGTCTGGAGTACTTGGCGGAGGGTTTGCCTCGGCATACTTTTCCGTTGTTTCTCAAACGTCTGCTGGGTTTGATCCATCAGCCGACAGTGGTTATGGCTGTTGTTGCCATCCTTTGGAGGATCTGGCGATCTCGGAATTGGGTAGTCTTTGAAGGCAAACAATTTGGGATCTCAGCACTCATGCGCCAGTTTAATCAGCAGTATGAGGAATGGACGGACCTACCATCGGACCAGGTACCGAGGACACCGATCCCGTTAGTACAATCTACATCACAAGTGGGAGATTCTCATTTGGTTTGTATGTGGGATGGAGCTACTAAGGGTGGGTCACATTCGGCTGGTGGGATGGTTCTTTTTGACCCAGCGCGGACACTCCTTCTGGCTAGAGGGGTTCAGTTTGCTCACATGGATGATCCTGGAGTGGTGGAGTTGCTTGTTCTGAGGGATGCTATTATGTGGTGTATTGAGCAAGGTTTGTCGGAGGTCCGTTTTGAGGGCGATGCAAAGGTGATTATTGACAAACTTAATCAAGCCGACACGAGAGATAGTCGGTTGGGCGCTGTTCTGGAAGAGGTTGCTCATTTTTTGCGTACTCAGCCTGGCTTTAGTGTGCGTTTTGTAGGTCGGGAAAACAATAGAGTAGCTCATTTGGTAGCTAGGAAAGCCCTCTCTTTGTATCCGACTATAAGTCGCTTCTTTGATTTCCAGACCTGGCTGGTTTCCAGGATGTAACTGTCTATTTTTTCGATCAATATATGATATCTTTTGGCAAAAAAAAAACAACACTCTTTCTTTCTCTTCATCTCACTCCACTCAAACCGAAATCCATCAATCATCTCTTTTTTCACAATTTGAGAACCCATATTACATCTAGCCAAAAGAACATTCCAAAGAAATTATAGGGGATCATTTGGATTATATTTGATGATGCAATTTGGTTCAATTGTCTCAAAATGAAACAATTGTATCGTTTGACAACAAAAAATAGAGATATAACAATTAGACTCAGAGGATTCGGATTGCTTTATTTTGGATCAATTTCAATTGACATGAAAAGGAGCATATACTTTGAAATGATACATCACTTATGAAATGAGTTGATTTCGATGCAATTGAATCAAATTATCTCATTTCTAAAATCCACAGTCCAATAACTCATAGTAGACAAATAACTCATTAGGAGCAAAGGTCGATTCAACCCACTGAAAATTCCCCATTCCCAATAGTCCACCCAAATGATGATCATCAATCCATCTTCCCTTTTGCTCAAAATCGCAATCTTTCCTGACGACCTTTCTTCCTTACACAAAGCAATCAACTTAATCATTCATTCACATCATCAAAAGCGTAAATAAATTACAGAAAAAGGATTACAGAAAAGTGGGGTCACTAATTAATTGCACCAAGCAATCACAGAAAGATGAAACATTCAAGCGAAACCAGCGGATTCTCCAGAGACTCGTTAGCTGCCGCAGCGTCTTCCTTCTCATCATCATCATCATTACCACGATGATGATGAAAAGCGGTATCCCCGTTCCCGGATTTTGTTGCCTCACTGTTGGCACTGATTTCAGGCGGATCCTTCCTAACCCGACCCGGCGACTGGTTCGCCCTCTTGACCGACCCGTTCCGGCTACCCGCACCCGTACCCGCCGCCCCTGCAGATCTGTGGGTAGTAGCGGGCGATCTCGATCTCCTCGCTGCTGAGCTGTCACCCGTCTCCCTCCTACTCGGGTCGGGTCGCAACGGTCTTCTCGCACCCGGATTCGGACCCTGATGATGAACCATCCTCACCTGCTGCCCAGCTCCTCCGCCGCCGGAGTAATTCCTCTTCACCGGAGACCGGTCAGATCGCCGGGTCGGTGACCTCCCCACCACCCGCTGCTGCTCCTTCCTCGAATCCGCCGTCGAAAACGCCCGATTTATCCTCGCCGCGGACATCTTCCCTGACGGAGAAGATCTCCTGCTTCCCTTCATCTGCTTCATCGTGACCTCCTCGTCGTTCGCCGTCGTCGCCGTCGACATCGCGCTCTCGCTCATGCTGAAGCTCACGCTCACGCTGCAGACCTCCGACGCATCTTGCTCCGAGATCTCCTCTTCCTCCACTAGTTTCTCCACCACCGGCGCTCGAATTTCCTTCTTCTCGAGTAAAATCGGCTCCTCGGGCTCCGGATTCACCGGATTTGGCGGCGATTGGGGAGGAGGAATGGCAGAGTAATGCTGCTGCTGCGGCGGCGGCGGCCTGTGGGGAGGCTTTGGGTTAGGGGTTTCGGAGGAGAGGACTTCCTTGACGGTTTCCTCGTCGCAGTCCGGCGGCGGAGCTCTGGTTTCCGCGGTTGACTTGAGAAACTTGGGCGGCTCGAAGTCGTAACGGTTGCCGTTTTTGGAGGAAGGGTGAGTAGCAGAAACAGGGGGAGAAGATTTGCTTGCGCTGCTAAGACAACAACCCATTTGGCGAAAAATCGGTCAGGTGATTCGCATTAGTTAGGAGAATTTCAGGTGGGGGGAAGAAATGGCCGTTGGAACGGCGGAAGCGGTGGAAGAAGACGACAAAGGCAAGAGGAAGGAAGAGCTCGGGAAACGAAAAGCGATGGTGGAAAATTGGGGAAAAGCTTTGTTGGGCAACAGCAGTCAAATAATGAAATCGGATTTATTGCTTTCTGGTTCTGCTACTGCTTTCGATGGACGGGCGTAACTTTTTATTTTTTTAATGTTTTTATTTTCCTTTTTTGGACTGGGTTTGGGTGGTGAAATGGGCTTTGGTCTATTGGGTAATTTTATTTTTAACGGGCTTTTTTTTTTTGCTGTTGTGGGTTTGTCTCGTGGTTTGTGTAATATTATATAATTTTTTTGTTCTTCTTTTTTCCGTTGTTAACGGTGATCATGTGTTGGAGTTTAGTTCATGTTCTGATTCCATTTCACGTATCGATTTTGTCTCTTCTAGTGAAAGGTGCATTTCAATATTGTTTGTGGCTAGAATACAGTGCTTTGAGTATTCTAGAAGACGGTATGTATCAGTTACCACAAGTTTAAATATGTACACACACCGATACACGTCATAATATTTTTACTTAGTTGAATGAGTTTTCAATATTAAAGATTGAATACTAGACATTTTTTTTATGGAGAACACTACACAATTCAATAAAAGAGTTCGATACCATGCCAACGACTACTTTGTTTTAAATAAATCGAGTTTTGGAGGAATCGGACATGTGTTGACCACTTAATGACACCGTCAAAAATTTCTACTATTTATCCTATAAATGAACCAAATCTCCAACAGAGTAGTTTTCCTTTTAGGGTTAATCAAATTTCTGATCACGCATCAAAATCTATGTTCCTTATAACTTCCGGAGGGCCAACGCAACGATTTGACGTAGCACATTACATTGCATGCCCCAAAATTGAAAGCACCGAGTAGTATGATCGATTCGATGGAACAGAAGACTTCATACTTCATAGTATACTGTATACTTCGGGTCCGTCGTGTCTTGTTTTGTCCTACAGCCGCCGGCCATGTATATGCTTTAATTTCACGGTGATGAATATAAGCAACGGTTGTGATCATGGTGGTGGTTGCGTTGGTTGTCGACGCGTCCTGTCCACTCCCCGCCAATCAATGCGAAACGTTCCATTCCATTCCGCTCATCACTGCTTTATGTGGAAAGGGGAGGGTGATGATCGGAGGGGCCGTGTGGGCCGCCGGCGGGGAACCATTCCAACGCTCCCGTGGAGCCTCGACATCATATCACATGGAAAGTGATTTTATTCATCTTTGATCAATCGATAATTTGTGCCGGTTTCAGCCTAAAGTTGCTAGTCGCCTATTTGAAATGTTTCGATCTTAAATCATTGAGCTCGATTTTAATAGTTTCGATGAGATAATAAAGGAAAAAGTCGTGTGAAACCGTACCAAAGACTGTACTAGAAAAATTAATGGCGAGGTATTTTCTACTGAAACAAGACATTTAAATTGCGGTTCGGTCATTTCATTATTAGTAAATGGGTTATGATCCACGATTGAAACTCTTCCAACAATTGTTGGGATCAACTATTTCTTAACATAATATAATGATGTGTCAGTTTCTTAATTGCCAACTTATTGCGTATACAATGGTCCCGTATCACCAACTAATTAATCCGATTTTATAATAACTCGTGCGATAGCTTGAATGTCATAACCCAAAAGAAGATGTTTACCAAAAGGAGACGAGTCTGCCGGCCGGACAGTCACATTCGTGTTTTTGTACTGATCGGAGGCAATGATCAACGATTGCGTCAGCCGTCGCCGGTCGTCGATTGATGAACTGTAAAGTAAAAAAAAAAAAAAAAAAAAAAAAGCGACCTCCACCACAAGTGTCATGTGAATGTGATTCCAGCCAAGCCAGCGATTCCCAAAACCCGCTGTGACGATGTATGATCTCTGCGTACGTCACCGCTGCCAGCTAGCTGCATGGATAACGTGTGGGTGTGCAATCCCCTCTGCCATCCACCTCATTTACTTGGACGGTGAAAAATTAATTACTCTCCACTTGGACGGTGAAAAATTCAACAGAACCAGAAATGACACTGTTGAACAATTAAAGCATGCATGGTTATTTAATTAGTTAGTAATAAATTTTCCATGCCTGACAATCTGACATGGTTGGAGTCTTGAAGCTGCTAGGATGAAAATTTTGATCTCATTCGTTTTACACACGAATTATTTGACCTGTTTTGGAGTGAGGCAGATATGAGTACCCTACTTAATTTGTTGCATTATTGATCTGTTACTATTACATATTTTACTTGTATTTTTTTCTTCAAATTATTTACGATTTTACTTTTATTACCTCGTATTTTAGTTACAATACAGTTGGAAAAGGGGAGAATCTCAATTTCTAGCTTGAATAATTTACTACACGAATCATGTTATAATTTATTCTTTATTTTTTTAATGAAAAATGAATATCCTGAATACTCTTCACTTACAAATTACAATACACCCAACACTTACATAATTACATAAATCATTTCTATTTTACTTCATTTGTGATAAATAAAGGAAGTATCTATAAGAGGTCGTCATTATTCCTGACAAGAGGATTTGCAGACTTGCTCCGCAAAATTGCAACTATGGTATGGCTGCATTGATGTCTTTATAGATTTAGGTGAGTATAATAATTTTGTTGATGATGATAGTTCATAGTTAGGTGTCATGAATGGTTGGGTTAGGCTTATACTAAATGGAAATTAGGAGATTAGTTGTGGCTATAATTCCTATTAATTAACCAAGACGAATGAGCATTACGAATGAGTACTTTTCTGGTCCCATTAATTAGATAATGCCTGCCACTAAGATCTATGATTGCTTAACTATTGCAAAGGCGCGAGTAGATTCCATATGGATTCCAAAGGCCCAATTCAACATCCGCCAGAGCCCAGTCCAAATCTAACGGTATACCAATGGCCCGAGTAGCGTGCTGAGTGTAGCAGTAGCGGGCCTCCTTGAGGCCCATTATAGGTTTGCGTCGTTAAGAAACGTGAAACCTTACCGGCCGATCAGAAATCACGATCGGCGGGAGAATATCAGGGACAAGGTCCTGGTTATTGTCCTCCCACTCCCTCCAAGAGATCAAGACTTATGAAATCATATGGGAAATTAATCCGAGAATGAATCGGTATCTAGTTATGATTTTCCTTTGTTACCCTAGTCAATTATGCAAATTAGTTTGGTGGAGAACCGAGTATTTATACCTTATCGCAAAGTCGAAATCATGTTTCTATTGAAGGGTTGGCAATGAATTTATAAATATGATGAAAGTCTTGGTGAAGTTAGTAATACGGTTGTCTATATACATCTAAAAAGTTCGAAAACAAGATATAGAGTATTGATCTTGTCCGCAAGTGAAAGTCTAACTGTTGAATGTGTCCATCTTAGTATCGAGTTGTCAATAAGCCGTTTCGGCCTTGAATGACCTTGAATGTGTTGGATGTTTTGTGTTGTGGAAGTTTTATAATTCTGAGTTTACTGGCTAAATAAATCAATTACTTAGTTGCATCATTGAACATTTGTTAAGAGAAGATGAGAGAGACTTTAATTGGTCAAGTAACACACATTTGAGATGACTCACCTAATGACTCCTTCTGGTTGTGTATTAGAAACTAATTCACTTAATCGAGTCCATTAAATTATTGATTGGGTTGTAACTTTATTGACCAATGCAAAATTCTCTGTAACTGAAACTTATTCTAAGTGCAATCCACAATATAGCCCATTGAAAAAAGTCTGTAAATGTAATTTTCAATCTTGTATTATGAGGATGAATGTCAAACACCAATCCTATATGTAAACATTACAAGTATTCCCAACTATAATCGAATACATTTTTTTTTTTTGATGAATGGTGAGCTTTATTCATCATACAATCAGCATACAAACTGTCAATTACATCTCCCTTCTATGTTTTCAACTCTGCACATCAAACACAGAGAATCAAATTCAACTATGCTAACCTCTACCTGTACAGCAAACACAGCAAAACCAAATTACAACATTTTATACCAAGGCTTCTGCCTTTCAGCAGCTTCTGCAAAAACTAGATCTCCTGCTATCTTGAACTCCACCTCCTGCGCCATTCTTTGAGTCAATTCAACAGGAGCCAGGGACTTGCTGCCATGTGTTCGTCTACAACTCTCACGCCACACCTCACTAACCAGTAAGCACCATATGGATCGCCCTACCTTGCATTTTCCTAGCCTGTTGACAGCTGCTAAAACCCCACCTTGGAAAGTCCACCCAAGAGAAATCTGCCAAGGATCAAACACAATACTCCAAACAGTCCTGACATAAGAGCAGGAGAAGAAGAGATGGTCACGAGTCTCTGGATCAGAATGACAGAGGGGGCATATGTCCAGAACATCCGGGTTCCACTTCTTAACTTTGTCTAACGTTGTAATTCTGTCCTGAATAACCAACCACGTTATTAAGGAATTCTTAGGGATCAGAGGCCCCTTCCATACCAGTGATGCCCAGGGGACAGTTTCTCTTCGAGGTCTGAGGCAATCCCAGACAGTTTTTATACTAAACCTGGTCATGACAGCACCATTCCACTCTACCCCAGCTTCAGTACAGACCAGGGATGAATTAAGAAGTGGTCTAGTCTTAAGTATCTTGTTCCAGACCCAGGACCCTCTAATTTGAGTTTCCCATATGCTAATGTTGCGTAACCTGTACTCCTTCAACCATGCAATCCACAGAGTTTCTTGATTTGCCAGAACAGCCCAGATATGTCTATCCAGGCAAGCTTGGTTCCAAGACCATAAATCACGAAAACCCAGTCCACCTTCTTCCTTAGGAAAAGCAGCGTGCTTCCATGCCACCTTTGCTTTCTTGTTCTGTTCCATGTTACTCCATAAGAACTTTGAACACATGTTTTCCACTTCCTTGATAACTTTCTTGGGGAGTTGGATGATATTCATCCAGTACTGAGATATGCTAGCAAGAACTGCTACTATTAACTGAATTTTCCCAGCATATGTCAAAAGCTTCGGTTGCCAGCCTCTTATTCGACTTGTAATATTTTCCACCAATGCTTTGCAGTCCACTGCTTTCAATTTCCCTGCAGAGAGTGGGATCCCCAGATACCTGACAGGGAGAGTTCCTTCTTTGAATCCAGAACAATTCACCAGTGTTTTCTTCACCTCCTCATTCACACCCGCACAAAAAATCTCACTCTTAGAAGGATTACATCTTAGCCCTGAAACCAGATAAAATTTCTCTAGGATTGTAGCAACTGTTCCCACTGCCTCTTCTGAACCCTTTGTGAAGATCAGAAGATCGTTAGCAAAGCAGAGGTGGGTGAGCCCAATCCTTTGGCATTGAGGATGGAAAGATAGGACTTTCCTTGCTGCTACCCTGTTAAGCATACAGGAGAGAACCTCCGTACTAATAGTGAACAAATATGGTGACAAAGGGCAGCCCTGTCTGAGTCCCTTCTTGGCAGGGAATTTTCCAGTTAAACCTCCATTCAAACACACAGAGAACTTGGTGGTTTCTAAACAACATTTGATCCATTGAATAAACTTCTCAGGGATTCCCATGGCCCTCAGGACAGTGACCAAAAAATACCAATCCACACTATCAAATGCCTTCATAATATCTATCTTTAAAGCACATCGAGATGAGACATTCCTTCTGTTGTACCATTTTACCAACTCATGTGCTAGGATAATGTTGTCAGATATCAGTCTACCCTTAATGAAAGCTGTCTGGTTAGGGCTAATGAGCTGTGGGAGAACTTCTTTCAAACGATTGGCAAGCAATTTCGAGATACATTTATAGATGAAATTGCAGCAGGAAATAGGCCTAAACAACTTCATTGAACTGGCATTAGGGACTTTAGGGATAAGGGCAAGGATTGTAGAGTTTACCTCTCTTCTAAGAGTTCCAGTAGCAAAGAAGTCCATAATTGCTTCAACAGTTAGAGGGCCAACCAGACTCCAATTATCCTGGAAGAATTCTGCAGAGAATCCATCTGGGCCAGGGGCTTTTCCTCTCTTCATGCTCTTGACTACTGATGTAACTTCCTCCACTGAAATTGGTGCACAGAGAGAAGAATTCTGAGGGAGATGGTGGTAAAGCAGCTTCTGAATAGTTCTCACTGTCACATGCTTAATAGAAGTGTTGACTGTCCCCAGCAAATTCTGATAGAAGTCTACTGCCTCCTTACCAATTGCATCCATCCCTTCCAAACATCTACCATCTTCTGTGATTAACTTGGAAATGGTACTTCTGGAGTTTCTGGTTCTGACCATGCTGTGAAAATAACTGGTATTAAGATCCCCACAGTTAATTCTCTGCTCTCTTGACTTTTGCTTCAGGAATTTTTCCTCAGCCTTCTTTAGGTCTAGAAGCTGGACCATACACCTCTGTTCAGCTTGAAAAGCTGAGGAGGCAGGGCGCTCCATCACTTCTTTTTGAGCCAATTCTAACTCTTCTTTTGCTTTCCTTACTCTTTCATGTATTTCTGAGTAATGATCCCTATTCAACTTCTTTAGTCTCTGCTTAACTTCTCTGAGCTTGTGATATAGCTGTTGCATTGCAGACCCCCTGATGTTACTATTCCAACCTTCTTGAACT